TATGGTCTCTGAATGGATTGGCGCGTCCACGGACCCAATCCCCAGATCTCCAGTTTCAGGTGTTGATACTGATAATGGCGCCAGAGCCTCTACTTACTACTCTACACCATAGCCTGTGCTACTTGGAACGTTTGTTACAGTAACTGAATCTAAAACAACAACAACTAATGTATTCATTCTTTTCTTTAAGCTGTTTCAGAGATAAACAAAACGTTGTAGAAAATAACTAATTAAAATGAACAAATCCACAAGGGCCATGATGAGAGTTCGAACTTACGTCCGGGATGATCCCAGACGCTGCCTTAGTCGACTGCGATACGATATATTTAAAAGAATTACAACCGGGAGTTCTAGAGCCCTCACTCGGATCCTGCAGCCTCTCCGAGACACAAACCAGAGTTTTACACAACTCCCCCCATGCACCCGGGCTCTGTCAACAGGCTCTTCTACCTCTTCGCCCTTACTTCAATACACACAGAAATCACAATAGCGTGATATATCAAATTAACAAATCCCTTGCCCTCGTGGATTTGTTCATTTGATATATCACCCTATTGTGATTTCTGTGCATAAATCATTTAATAATTACTAAAGTTTCTTTACCATGAATTTTGGTAACTAGAATGGTCTTCTTAATACTGGTGCTGAGAAAATAGAAGCAAAGAAAGATTACTGTGGGATCGACAACCCAGCAATGCGATCATATTTAATCATATAGGTTTAAAAGAACGCCTATTGATCTAATATCTTATATCTCGACGGATAAGACGACTAAAACAATCAAGATGCCCGAATTTATTTATGCCCAATCAATCAATTTAATTTATTTAATCAATCAATTTATGCCCGAAACGCTTTGCGTAATAGTGGCTTTAGGCATTGTATGTACTAGTTCTACCTATAAGTCAAACAATCCTTGTAAATATTTATTGTATGTATGTACCTTACCTAAATAAATTGTATTGTATGGAACCGACCTGTGAGATTTATATTTATTTAATTTATATGAATTTATATTTACGTTAATTTATATACTTCGATAGCAATTTGTATAATGATAAGTGGACTGTATTTCTGCAATAATCTCTTAATCTCACAAATCGATCCTCTACACATTAGGGGGGGTTTATATTACACATATGCAGCCAATCAAATTACAGTAATAGCTACATACATTGATGAGGTTCCTTCTCTTATAGTACAGCAGGTTAGTCCACCAGGTATAACTAGAGTGTAGACACCAAATTATCCTCTTTGAGGTAGCTTCCATATCACCCAGTAACTGGTGCACAAACTCTTCCTCGTCTTGACCTGTCAAAAGGGCGCTAACTGTGAAGCCAGAATCCTATATATGACAAGTTATATCAGAGAAAACAGTACATGGAACATGAGGACCTGGCTTAATTACCTTTAGTTTGAGGCTTCCATGTGATCTAACCGGATAACCCTACCCAATGACATTAATGGCCACTAATGATAGATAATGGGTTTCGGATAGACACTTAACTTGAATTTGTAGACAGCGTGTTGATAATGGTACACTTTTAGTTTCCATAACACTACGTCCAAGTAAATTTAACAGGAGCCGAATTTGCTCCCGTGTGAGCCTCTGGTCTAGTATAAACAATGATGGCTGCCCTCCTTCCTCCACTCTGACGCCTGGCTTACATTGTCCAGATTTCAGAACGTGATAGAAGGGTCACATTTACTCTACTTTAATATTGATAATTAAGTTAATTTATATAAGATGTTTTTATGATGGTAAAGTCCAAAGACTAATGTATTTAAGAATAATTCCCAGCAGAATAGCTGGTGAATTATAATAGTATGTGGTGATGATATCCCGTTTTCTTTAGACGGTAATTCCACTACAAGTTACGTTTTCTATGGGTAACTTGTTGGTAATACAGCAGCTATTATCTGTATGATATATTAAATGGTGTCGGATTTTCCGACATAATTCCCCAGGGGGCTGCTCACGGGTCGAAGTCCTATTTAGAACAGACGAACACCGATACTCCTCCTTCGAATTATTACATTAATTTGATATTAGTAGTTAGTAATCACACATTTGTGTGTCTGTTCGTGCAGGACGGATGTCCCGTACTAGAGTTGCAGGGGTTAGAAGTCTAATGCGATTTCATTTCCCTGTCAACTCTTGAAAGGCTAATATTCAAGCCTTATTACATATTATTTAACCCAGAAGACTGAATGTGATCAAGTACTACAGTCAAGTATGATTCAGGGACTGCAGTGAGATCAGTGACATTAGATATAACTTGAAGTTTCTTCAGGTAACTGGTCACTGATATATAAACACTGAGGCCCATGGAATACATCTTGATTAAATAATAAATGTATCAAATCAGTCATCAGATTTATTAGGGTTTAATTTAGTTAATTGATTCAGAAGATTGAATAGCTCATCATTAAAGTAAAGTATGGTTCTGAGACTGCAGTGGGTTCAGTGACATTGGTCGCAGTGACTTGTAGCTGTTTTAGGCTACTGTTCACTGATTTGCCACTGAGGCCTCATGAACTCATCTTCAGCTTCAAATGATGATACTAACATCAACCTCTGTTACTATAGTCAGCTGTAATCTCCTTAGTATAATGCTACTGGAGAAATATAATCAGCTGACAAATTTAGATTTCTACTGGTATTGTTTATCTGCAGGCATAGGTCTCCTCAGGCTTGTTACTGGGCCTGAGAGTAATTTACCTCCTGCAGAGTTTAACATGGTTATACCCTGATATTTAGTAGGGCTACCAATGAATTGATGGTAGTAGTCTGTCCCCACAAGGACAGCCATTTGGCATTTGATTTGCTCAAATTTACCTGCAGCTGCTTGATAATAGCTTTCCAGGTCAGCATAATCAACTTGAGATTGTTGTGACAAATCTTCACATTTCTTGATCTGTCTTGTTAAGTGGCCTTTAAGACCTGCAAGGGTTCTTTTCATTCTCCCTGCATTATCCATACTGGCTCGTTGGTGAAGCCTTGTGGGACTTGTACTTGGGCTGCTCATAATACTGAACAAGCTCTAATGGTAGCCTAGGGTAAATTCTGAACTCACTAGGCAATAATCCTACCTCTACTAGAGGTTAGCACTTAAAATTAATACACATTATATATATACAATCATCCACACTAATGATTTGAGTGATAAACCAGTGTCACTGGAAGTACCTTTAGGTTAGCTCTTCTATATCACCCTAGGATGGTAGAGACACTAATTAATCACTCAAAGGTGTAATGATCATAAGTAAATTATTATATATACAACTCAACTCGAGTTGATAAAAATTACACCCAAAATAGGGTCTGCACCATTCATTAATGGTGTTAGGTTATTCAATATAGTACAACTGACTATGGTAATAATGGGACTAGGATGAACGATAATAGTTCAACTAGTCATTGGTTAATATCCTACCCTGTTGTGGGTTGGCAATTAGTAAATATTATACTGTGATCACTAGTGCAATATATATTAAATAATTCTCTATTTTGGAGAAATAATATACACAATTATTGTTAATAGCCTCTTAATTAGCCTCTATGAAACTTCTAATATTATCTAGAAGTATTAAATGTTATTAGTGACCTCGCGAAATAAACTCCACAAAATTCGTAGATAATCTCTCGCGAAATGTAACACCACGAAATCCGTGAACAATCTCGCGACACAGTCACTAATTGGCTGGCTTCAATATTAGCGCTGTCATTTCACGAAATAACACGCCACCAAATATCTGTGGGTGTGCATGAAACCGCTGATGAGGCTGAACTCAGTTGAGGGAGGCTCCTGAGCTCCCTCGAGGCTTCGCCGCTGTCTTTGACTGGCTGGCCTTGTTTAAATAACACTGCACTAGTATATTTAATGAATCCACTGGTTAACTGGCTCATCCGGTACTAAGATGACCAAATGTGGGTTCAAAGGATCAAATAATCCGTCATCCGGTTCGAAGATGACCAAATAATGTGGGAACCGACCTGTGAGATTTATATTTATTTAATTTATATGAATTTATATTTACGTTAATTTATATACTTCGATAGCAATTTGTATAATGATAAGTGGACTGTATTTCTGCAATAATCTCTTAATCTCACAAATCGATCCTCTACACATTAGGGGGGGTTTATATTACACATATGCAGCCAATCAAATTACAGTAATAGCTACATACATTGATGAGGTTCCTTCTCTTATAGTACAGCAGGTTAGTCCACCAGGTATAACTAGAGTGTAGACACCAAATTATCCTCTTTGAGGTAGCTTCCATATCACCCAGTAACTGGTGCACAAACTCTTCCTCGTCTTGACCTGTCAAAAGGGCGCTAACTGTGAAGCCAGAATCCTATATATGACAAGTTATATCAGAGAAAACAGTACATGGAACATGAGGACCTGGCTTAATTACCTTTAGTTTGAGGCTTCCATGTGATCTAACCGGATAACCCTACCAATGACATTAATGGCCACTAATGATAGATAATGGGTTTCGGATAGACACTTAACTTGAATTTGTAGACAGCGTGTTGATAATGGTACACTTTTAGTTTCCATAACACTACGTCCAAGTAAATTTAACAGGAGCCGAATTTGCTCCCGTGTGAGCCTCTGGTCTAGTATAAACAATGATGGCTGCCCTTATTCCTCCACTCTGACGCCTGGCTTACATTGTCCAGATTTCAGAACGTGATAGAAGGGTCACATTTACTCTACTTTAATATTGATAATTAAGTTAATTTATATAAGATGTTTTTATGATGGTAAAGTCCAAAGACTAATGTATTTAAGAATAATTCCCAGCAGAATAGCTGGTGAATTATAATAGTATGTGGTGATGATATCCCGTTTTCTTTAGACGGTAATTCCACTACAAGTTACGTTTTCTATGGGTAACTTGTTGGTAATACAGCAGCTATTATCTGTATGATATATTAAATGGTGTCGGATTTTCCGACGTGAGACAGAACAGTCAGTCAGCACCTCCTGAGCCTCGCTGGGTACACAGTGGTCGCGTGGCTCAGTCAGCACCTCCTGAGCCTCGCTGGGTACACAGTGGTCGCGTGGCTCAGTCAGCACCTCCTGAGCCTCGCTGGGTACACAGTGGTCGCGTGGCTCAGTCAGCACCTCCTGAGCCTCGCTGGGTACACTGTGGTCGCGTGGCTCAGTCAGCACCTCCTGAGCCTCGCTGGGTACACAGTGGTCGCGTGGCTCAGTCAGCACCTCCTGAGCCTCGCTGGGTACACTGGGGTCGCGTGGCTCAGTCAGCACCTCCTGAGCCTCGCTGGGTACACTGGGGTCGCGGGGCTCAGTCAGCACCTCCTGAGCCTCGCTGGGTACACTGTGGTCGCGGGGCTCAGTCAGCACCTCCTGAGCCTCGCTGGGTACACTGTGGTCGCGTGGCTCAGTCAGCACCTCCTGAGCCTCACTGGGTACACTGGGGTCGCATGGCTCAGTCAGCACCTCCTGAGCCTCGCTGGGTACACTGGGGTCGCGGGGCTCAGTCAGCACCTCCTGAGCCTCGCTGGGTACACTGTGGTCGCGTGGCTCAGTCAGCACCTCCTGAGCCTCGCTGGGTACACAGTGGTCGCGTGGCTCAGTCAGCACCTCCTGAGCCTCGCTGGGTACACTGGGGTCGCATGGCTCAGTCAGCACCTCCTGAGCCTCGCTGGGTACACTGGGGTCGCGTGGCTCAGTCAGCACCTCCTGAGCCTCGCTGGGTACACTGGGGTCGCATGGCTCAGTCAGCACCTGGCCACACACGCGCGATGTCAACACATTGCTCATCAACAGCTGTTAAACTACCGTTACCGACGACAGCATACATGGAGTATTGACATTATGTGCCTCACTGATAACACACCGACAATTCAAGCGATTTACAGGTAATAATTATGACATGATTCCTTATTACTGACAGTACATTCAAGGAATTATATTCATTGTACTTGAACAAATCTTGAATTAAATTCATTGTACTTCTATATCACGGCATCTGGTTGTCTGCTGCTTACCGACCTGAACTTCACCACATATAGTTATGGTATTTTGTCTTATATCACCTATATGACCTAAAACAATGAAACACAGACTAAAATTTGGCGGCCTCCTTTATCTGAAAGTCGCCTAATCCGTCGTGATTTAGCGTATTCCTAAACTGTTGCATCCGGCAGTTTGTATATTAGAATAGCCATTAGGATTTTCTACCTTGATTACAAGTACCTCTACCACCTCATAGGTTGAGTTTAGGAGTTCTGGTATGCACAGAACTCCTAAACTTAACCTCTGAGGTGGTAAAGGTACTTGGAATCAAGGTCGATAAAATTAACCTAATTATTTTTCAAATATACAAGCTGAGAGATGCAACACTTAAGGAATTCGCAGAGCTGATACATAAAATAGAGAATATCCTTGATAATCCAGCAAACCCAGTACCATATATTATCATTCTTAGAGACTTCAATCTACCCGGTTTAAGATAGAGAATATTAAATAATAACATTATACTAGGAAATCAACCTGAAAATAACCACCCACAGGTCAAAGAACTACTGAGATTCTGTAAAAGATTTTCCTTCAGATAATGGAGCCAACTGGGAACGACAACACACTCGACCTGATTTTCACAAACAATGAAGAAATAATGCGGGACATTACAATCTCAGATACTACACACTCAGACCACAAGCTCATTGAAGTTCAAACTAACGTTAATACCTGTAAATGGTTCAAAAGGATCATCAACACGCATGAAGGGTGATTCAATCAATTCAGTTGTAACAACAAGAGGATAAACTGGGAAAAAATAAATATAGACCTGGCAAACATCCAATGGTAAACAGTCTTAAGCGACAAAACTCCTACTCAGGATATAGCCGAACTTACAACTGAAGCATAAAAGAGCTGCTTGAAGCGGGCGCCTGTGAGGAGGATCAGACAGAGGACCAATCTAGAAAGAGAACGCAGACGACTGTACAAGAGAAGGAAAAAAATCACGGAAACGCTTAAGCAGACACGACTTTCACAACAAACAAAAATCAAACTGAACAGGGAGTTAAACAAAAATAGAGCAGATGCTGAAGCGATCATACTAGTCTGAGGAAATTAAATTGGAATAAAAATTATTCAGAAGATAAGGAAAAATCCAAAATATGTTTTCATATATGTGAAATCAAAATAAAAAACCATCGATATTGGATCTATATACCAAGTGAAGGTTCGTACATAGGATGACAAAGAAATTACTGAAATCCTAAAAGGCCAGTATAAGGCTATGTTTAGTATTCCAATAAACAACATGAAAGTGTTTATTGGGGGGTGCAAAACATCCAACCGTCTTCTTTAAGAATGACATCCAAGCTGCATATAATATAACTGATATTAACACGAATACAAAACACTTTGAAAGAGAAATTGACAACATGCCAATGCACTCAGCCCCCCTTGTCCTGACTCGTGGAATTCAATATTCATAAAAAATGTAAAGTACCAGTAGTACGAGCACTCAAGTGTAATATGGAGAAAGAGCCTTGATACAGGAGAGATACCAGCAGCACTTTAATCAGCTGATATAGCTCCTCTGCACAAGGGAGGCAATAAAATTTTGCCAAAAAACTTTAGACCAGTTTCACTAACATCACACATAATTAGTGTGTTTGAAAGAGTGAGTAGAAATGAACTCTCTCCAGTTTTATGAAAAACAACAAACTTCACAACCAAGGTCAACATGGATTTAGAGCGGGAAGATCCTGTCTTTCACAGTTATTCAAACACTATGACAAATCACAGAAGCATTAGAAGAAAAACTAAATACAGATATACACACATACTTTGCAAAGGCATTCGATAAGTGTGACCATGGAGTGATAGCCCATAAAATTAAATCAATAGGAATAACGGGTAAAGTGGAGCGTTGGATTTTACATTTTCTGTCAAACACAATGCAGAGAGTAACAATCAATCAAGTAAGATTAAGCCCAAGTGCAGCGAAAAGCTCTGTTCCCCAGGGCACAGTCCTTGATCCATTGCTCTTTTTCCTTCTTATCTCGGATATAGACAAATATACTAGTCACAGCCTCGTGTCATCCTTTGCAGATAATACAAGTCAGCATGAAAATTGCCTCTGTAGATGACACTGAAAAACTAAAAGACGATATTAATAAAATCTTTGATTGGGCAAGGGGTATCTCTCAAGGGAATCGGAGTGCATTCGATTAATTGAGAGTTGAGAGTTTTTATTCATGTTAAGGGCTTGTGTATGGTTGTCTCCTTAGTACCTTGCTGTGTACCTTAGTGTGGCATCACCGCCGGCCTGTTTCCACATGTCCATTATGCGGCCCCTTCTTACATTAATGTTGTTTCTTTTAATATTCTGTGCATGGTTTGTGGCTGTGTACCTGGGGACCGTACGCGTGTGTCCGGATCTGCACCCATTGTGTCTTGTTTACTGCCTTGTTTGCGTTGCATTATTGTGTCGAGTGCATTATTACCTGTGAAAGTCGTTTGTTTACTTGTATATGTTAATTGACCCAGGTTCTGGGAATGGTACTCACCTAGTTGTGCTTTCGAGGGTTGAGCTCTGGCTCTTTGGTCCCGCCTCTCAACCGTCAATCAACTGATGTACAGATTCCTGAGCCTACTGGGCTCTATCGTATCTACATTTGAAACTGTGTATGGAGTCAGCCTCCACCACATCACTGCCTAATGTATTACCACTTGTTAACTACTCTGACACTGAAAAAGTTCTTTCTAACGTCCCTGTGGTTCATTTGGGCACTCAGTCTCCACTTGTTCGCGTACCACCCGTGTTAAAAAGTTTATCCTTATCTACCCTGTCAATTCCTCTGAGAATTTTGTATGTTGTGATCATGTCTCCTCTGACTCTTCTGTGTTCCAGTGTCGTGCGATGCATTTCACGCAGCCTTTCCTCGTAACTCATGCCTCTTAGTTCTGCGACTAGCCTAGTAGCATACCTCTGAACTTTTTCCAGCTTCGTCTGGAGTGTGGTAGCAAGCTAGGTTATGGTTTATTTTATTTCTAAATACTTTGTCTTTTTAAATATAAGAAAACAAAAATACTATTTAAATCACTGGTACTGTCCCGTCTTGAGTACTGCTCAGTACTCATTTCTCCTTTTAGTACCGGAAAGATTTCTGGAATGGAAGGAATACAGAGAACATACGCGGCACACAGTCACGATAAAACACCGAAATTATTGGGACCGTCTTAAAGCTCTCAAAATGCACTCTCTGAGATGGAGACGAGAGGTATGAAATACGAAATATGAAATACGTGGAAGATATTGAAAGGCCAGGTCTCAAATTTACACACAACAATGTACTGAAATGAAATATATGGAAGGAAATGCTATATAGAATCGGAGAGGAGTAGAGGTACCAAAGGCAAAATCAGAGAGCACTGTCAGAACAAAAGAAGTACGCGTACTTCTTTTAGGTACTGGGCTGTTCAATATTCTCCGAGCAAGCATTAGAAATATTGCTGGAACTCAGATGGAAGACTTCGGGAAGCTTTTAGATAAGTTCTTGCAAGAAGTGCCGGAGTAACCGAGTTGTAGTGGATATGGGCCTGCGGGGCCGCTCCAAGCAACAGCCTGCTGGACCAAGTTATCAGAAGTCGAGCCTGGCCCCGGACCGGGCTCGGGGGGTACAACTCCCAAAACCCTCTCCAGGTATGTTCCAGGTATATATATCTTTCTCTCTGCCTCACTCTCTCTCTCTCTCTCTCTCTCTCTCTCTCTCTCTCTCTCTCTCTCTCTCTCTCTCTCTCTCTCTCTCTCTCTCTCTCTCTCTCTCTCTCTCTCTCTCTCTCTCTCTCTCTCTCCCCACACCCTTTCCCTGTAAGAGACACCACTCCAGCATAAATATTCTCAAACATGGTTCCAGGTTTGTTTTCGCAAAAAGAGTCACAATACTGGCGCGCTCCTTCCAGTCAAACCAACATCAGGTCTGAAGGCGCCCGGAGCCTGCTGCCTCACTTCCTCCGCCAGAACAACACATGAGGAGGTTTTTGCTTTTAAAGGAGGACGAGCTGAGAAGTTGTGTGGATTATGAGAGTGATCTGGGTAGCTGTGTGGATTATGAGAGTGATCTGGGTAGCTGTGTGGATTATGAGAGTGATCTGGGTAGCTGTGTGGATTATGAGAGTGATCTGGGTAGCTGTGTGGATTATGAGAGTGATCTGGGTAGCTGTGAAGAGGAGCTGTTTACCCCTGCATCTCGGTCTATATACAGTGAACGTTTACTAAAGTCATGGACTGTGTTCAGGTTTACAGTTTACAGTTTACTCTCCGGGTGACCAGTCAACTAATACAGTGGGGCTTGATAATCTTCCCTCCGGTGATGAGCCACAACCATTGCCCTCAATCCCTCCCCGAGACTACACTTGCCCAGTCTGCCGCCGACTCCCACCATGTATCCGTAATTATTAATGTACTGTATTCAAAATTGTTGTTCATGCTTGTTAGATGGTGCTGGAAGCAGAGAGCGTGTGCGAGGCTTGGAACCCACAACACAGAGCTTGAACCAAGGCCTGGGGGAGAGAGCTAGTCTAAGTTAGATTACGTGTTTAGGCTCTGTTGATATTTATTTGTATTTACAGTACGTGGGTGAAGCATTTACCGCGTTGTGATTCCAATACAGGTCATGAGCTCAACAGACTACAGGCTGTCATTCTTCCACTACCTGGCTTTATCATACTGCAAGTCCGCAGTATCCCGCATTATTATTATTATTATTCTGCGGGCTCACCATAACCCGTGCTGTTTGGAACGTTTTGTTCCTGGTAGCGAATCTAAAACAACAAACAACAATATTATTATTATTATTGTTAACCTTCTCGTGTACAATGCTTCTTTTAACAGGCTGAAATTGAAATTGAAAGGCTGAGGTTACTATAAGTCTTGACATTTATTGCATGCCATATTGCCTTTTTAATCGTCAATATGATAGATACTTGTATCAGTCTTGATAATGTTTTTGTGACAACGACTATAACAATAATTTATATATTACTTTTACTATCATAATTTTGAAACATTTTATTTATTATTCTACTGTTTATTTATTGTATTATTTTGCACTTTACATAAACCAATTTTGGTTATACGCACAATAATATATTTGTTATTCGCCCGTAAACACGACTGCTTCTTTACGTCCTCTTCTGTGTTATAGAATTTGGAAAAAATATAAAAAACAAATTGCCTTAAAATATTTCTGGAGATTGTTTCCGTAAGCCATTTCAGATTCTAATGAAATTCAGGTTCTCCTCCATTTTTGTGACAGGAACTTGTAAACGTCGCAACGAAAATCGACGTGGCTCTCCAAACACGGTCATTCAATAAACAGTGATGATGGTTCCTGTTCCTGACCGAGCTTGTGTGTGGTTGGCGGGCGTGTGGGGGCGTGTGGGGGCGTGTGGGGGCGTTCGGGGGCGTGTGGGGGCGTGTGGGGACGTGTGGGGGCGTGTGGGGACGTGTGGGGGCGTGTGGGGGGCGTGTGGGGACGTGTGGGGGCGTGTGGGGGCGTGTGGGGGCGTGTGGGGGCGTGTGGGGGCGTGTGGGGGCGTGTGCGGGCGTGTGGGGGCGTGTGCGGGCGTGTGGGGGCGTGTGGGGGCGTGTGGGGGCGTTTGGGGGCGTGTGGGGGCGTTCGGGGGCGTGTGGGGGCGTGTGGGGGCGTGTGGGGACGTGTGGGGGCGTGTGGGGGGCGTGTGGGGACGTGTGGGGGCGTGTGGGGGCGTGTGGGGGCGTGTGGGGGCGTGTGCGGGCGTGTGGGGGC